AGGTGTGCAAGAGGCAGCTGATCGATGTTTTTCTCTCATAGATGTTTCTAACTATCCCTCTCCCTTCCTGTCTCTAAAAAAACCGATAAAATATATTATAAAAAAAAGTCCAATGAGGCTTTGCGTGGGATGTCTAAATATCAGAAACAGTAGTGTATCTCTAATTTTGAGAGGGAAACTGCATTAATGTAGAGAGATGCAGACATTCCCAGGAAGAACAAATGTAGGAGATTAATAGGGTGTGCACAGAGTCCAGAAGGCCAGTAGATACTTGATTTTAAATTTTGTGGTCATCCACCAAAAAACTGCAATGTACTCTAGACTATAAATCTCCACAAAAAGAAGTTTGGTTGGGCACTGCAAAATGATGGTGCTGGCTTTGTTTTGTTCCAATGACTTTCGTTTTGATCAATGATCCTATCATTGATGTCTCTATCCCTCTCTCCCTTCCTCTGTGAAATCAATAAAAATATTTTTTAAAAAGATTATATGTCAGCCGAGACCAGTTTGGCTCAATGGATAGAGCGTCGGGTTGGGGACTGAAAGGTCCCGGGTTCGATTCCGGTCAAGGGCATATACCTTGGTTGCGGGCATATCCCCAGTAGGGGGTGTGCAAGAGGCAGCTGATCGATGACTCTCTCTCATCGATGTTTCTAGCTCTCTATCTCTCTCCCTTCCTCTCTGTACAAAATCAATAAAATATATTTAAAAAAAAAGATTATATGTCAAATAAGTAATAATGACAATATATGTAGCTCTGAAATGGAAGAAGTCAGGCGAAAGACTATACCATACCTCCCCCCAAAAATGGGTAGAATTTGGACTAGTCAATATTGGAGAACTTAACATCAGCAAGAAGAGTGATTAGAAAAAGAAACTATGTGGAATTCAGAAACACTTAAGTTCTAATTGTGTTACTTTATGTGGCTTAAACAGGTTTTCAAGTTGTCAAGCAAACAGAATTCCACTAAACGCAGGAGGGACCAAATATTAATATCTCTAACTTCCACAAGTTAAACATGTCACAAAGTTTCAATAACTAACCTTCTAGGGATGGTTGTACTCTATCTGGAGGGCATTTATAATCGCTTTTACAAATACTTATGGTAGTAAACTTAAGGGAAAATCTTACCACCTCAGGAAAAGATGGCTGACCCAATGCCCTTCAACCATTATACTAGTAGCTCCTCTAAAAACCAAAAAAGAATGGAAACATTGAGATTAAACAGGTGAGTTTTATTATCAAATGTAAGTATTCTACAAAAACTCAGTAGCATTGTAATATTACTTGCCTATCAAAGTCTTTCAGAACTTTGGACAGACAGCATCTTAAGGCATCAAGTATAAAGACCTTTTTTTCTGATCTTAAGTGCCAGTCATCACCTATATTCACACAAAATGGTTCTTGTTTTTTATTTTTTATTTTCTTGCTGCAGTTGAAGGGCTAATCCTGTCCAGCTGAAGAGGGGATGTTTGGTTCTGTAAGCGTTAGTCAACGTAATGCAAAGTAAATAACAATTAGCAGCCACGAGAATCTGCATGGCGCCGCATTCAAGCAAAGGACAATGTGAGTAACTTAAAGAAACGTGCACTGAGTTAATCAAGTCCTGTTTTCCTCTTTGGAGTTCCATGAGGCAGCAGTACTAGCTCGCTAGTGTCTAATATTGCACTTTTGTAGCTAGCATAAACACAGCTAAACACTGACAGCATCAGTACCTGCTCTAATCATACCAGTGTTTACCTCTCAGTCTAGCATGCTGACTATAATCATCCTAGGCTTTAAAAGTTTTATTATTTGACAGTTAAGGCATTAGAGAAGGTTTAAGGCTATCTTAATATATACACAAGCATTCACTTCAGTTAGTACATTGCTTTCCAGAACACACAGTCCAAATATTCTCGTTTTTGTCGTATTTAAAACTATGGAATTCCTCTTATTCAAGTCCAGGCCATTAGTAATGAGAAAAGTACAGTATAAAATAATACATAGAAAGCCACATTGTTCAGTTACAGATCAAACTAGAAATTACAAACTACATGTAGCTGCTTCATTTTTGGTTTCGCATTTTGGCCCCTAGAGTTCATTCTTATTTACATCTGATATCTGCTGGGGGGGAAAGACCCAACTTTTAAACTATGTATGTTTTGTGGTGGATGCGCCATTTCCGATTTTTTTCCCAAGGTATTTTAAAAATGTTTTCATTGTGTGTGTGTTTTTTAAACTATGTCATGATGGCAAAGAAACTAAGAAAATATTAGTTTTATTTCTAAGTTTGTGACTTAAGTATTCCAAGACCTTTTTCTTGAATTACTTCAGAAGAGGACATAATTGGGTAGCAAGTAGGGAGATGGAGAGAAGACTGTGAACACACAAAAATGAAGTTTCCATAACAGAGTTTTTGGTGGAGATAGTAGACATGTAAGTGGAGTATTTTTCCTCACAAGACGTAAAACTTAAGGAACATCTATGATGCCACATTGGCTGGAAGTAATGGAGACATACAATTTCCATTTCACATTTTAAATGCAATCAGCAAGGAGCCAGGCATTCTGCTTCTAGAAGGATTTGGCTTCACTGGCTCTAATTTTCCACTCCACCAAGACAGGGCACAGGCCCACTGTCCAATCATGTTTGCTGAAAATACTGCAGCCTGAGTGTAGACAAGCTTCCCCTGACGTTGCTTGAAGTTGATGAGGTGTCTGGTGGTTTCAGGATCACCATACATCTTTCAAACACTGAGGTGGGGAAATGAATAAAAGGAAATATTATAGTCTCTAAAATCTTAAATTCTTAGCAGCCATAAAAATGTAATAATTTTCAATTTTAAAAGCTCTAAAAAAGCCTTAAGGTAGTTCACATAGTTGGCATTTATACAGCAAATTCTTGGCGAGTACAGCATAGGCAAATGAAAGTTATGCAATAATTTGAATTCCAACAATTACCTACCCTTTGTATTATCATGCATAGAGTACTGTTATGTTTTCATTTCCCTACTTGACTCAACTCTTTTGTGAAGAGACTATTCTATTAATTCCTTAGCCTGGGTCCCCAAGTTATGATGGCATCCCTCTGATTTTAGACATTAATATCATTATTAAAAGAAATAAAACCATTAATTTCAAACAAAAATATCTGAATCAATAAGAAGCACGGAAGCATGACACTGCAGCAAACATGAGCTCTACATGCTAAAGACTAGCATGTAGTTGATTAGGAACCTTTAGTTTGGTTATTTCACCCTCACAACTAGCCTTTTAGATTACCATGTTTTCCCTATTTCACAGATGAGAAAATTGAGGCACAGAGCAATTAATCCTATAGATGCTGAATAATTGGCAGATTCAAAATCCGAAAACAGTATTGGTTCCACTGTGCTATTTCAATTATACACCACACAGAAACTTTAAAACAAAAGCACTATGTGGCTGGTGTGGCTCAGCTGGTGAGAGCAGCCTCCTGTATACCAAAAGTCAATATAGAACATTTCTAATGTAATATCAAAAAGTTCCTTTTATAATCATTTCTTATTCAACATACTCATTTTACAAGATATTAGACTTACAAAATTCATAGACAGCATTAAGGGCTTGAATTAAGAACATTTGGAAAGACAAAGTATGAACCAAAATGAGTACCAACAGGCTAGACGAATGAGTTCCTACCACTCTGAACCACACTAGAAAATCCTCCATAGTCCCACTGCTAAGCATTTGGGCATGATGCTTTCTGAAACCTCACTGAAAATGGCAGAGAATCCATCACTTCCAACTCAGAACTGGAGTCTCTACAACTTCAGAATGAGAGTATAAGTCCCCAATTGTGATTTCTCAAGGACAACATTTTATTGGCAACCCCAATTTCAATTTAGAATCCATATGGTTGAAGCCCACAGGGTCCTCAACCATGAAAATGTTGACAAAATTTGAAAACAACATGTCAGCAAGCCAATTTCAGTAACCTAATGATAAAAAAGGAATAAGTCAGCACAATGCCTGAGCATATTCCTACAACTCCACCTCTTCAGGAGCCTCACCCAGAATGCATCACCCTTCAAGAAAAGGCTGTCTATTAATAGAAAACAAACAAAATATCCCAATTAATTTCAAAGAAACTTTATCAGGGTTCCTTCCCTCTAGATTTAGTTTTAGAAAAGGAGAAAAGATGTGCAACAAAAACCTTGCAATCACTTTGGAATAAATCACATTTAAATTATACCTAGATGAACCTTAAAATATTATGCTAAGTGAAAAGCGAGTTATGAAAGGACAGATATTGTGTCGTTCCACTTATGAAGTAACCAAAACAGTCTATTGCATTAAAATAGAAAGAATGGGAGAAGCCAGGGGCTGGGGAAAGAGAGAAATGGGAATTTAGTATTTAATGTAAACAGAGTTGGAGAAAAGAGAAAAGTTAGGGGTTAGATACCCTGTTTCCCCGAAAATAAGATAGTGTCTTATATTAATTTTTTCTTCCAAAGTTGCGCTAGGTCTTATTTTCGGAAGGATGTCTTATTTTCAGGGAAACACGGTAGTAGCGATGTTTACACAACAATGTGAAATGTACTTAAATGCCACAGAACTATAAACTTTAAAAATGGTAAATTTTATGTTATATTTTACCACTTAATAGAATGACTCAACGATTCTACTCGGACAAAACAAATACTTAAATACGTGCACATAAATGCTAGAAAAAGTGCTAGTATGCACAAGAGCCAGAAAATGGAAACAGCACAAATGTCCATCAGTGGATAAATGCATAAACAAAATGTGTTATATCTGTACAATGAAGTATTATTCAGCCACAGAAAGGAATCAAGTAATGATACATGCGACAACGTAGATGAACCTCGAAAACATGTGACGTGAAAGAAGCCAGGTACAAAAGGTCACATATAATCCCACTTACACGAAATACCCAGAAGAGGCAAGAGCTAACCAATAGTCCACATGAGATATAGCAAGAGAATTTCCCAATGGGAAGATTTCCCCTTACCCAGGTAACCTACTACTATCCACCAATGTTGCTTAGATACCACCTACTGAGATGACAATCTTAACTGTGGTCTCCATCCCTTCCCGTGTTTCTGACTCACTTCCATCACACTAGGGGGAAGAGGAAACTTCTCACCTGACTCCTAAGAAAACACATTGATTCCTGACCTCTGTTTGTTTAGCCCTTTATATTGACCTTTCATATCACAGAGCCTTACCTTCTTTTCTGAGGGTGGTCTACCTGCTGGGACCCTTAAATGCAAACCCATTCTTTGGGTAGAGTCCTGGACTGGTCATTTGTGTGTACAAGTCCATCCTCGGTTGCATACTAAAATGCAAGTTAAAACAAACAGGATCAAAAGATGGACACACTGTCACTACGAATGGTTAGTATTTCAACTGAAGAGATCCACCAACCGAATTATTGGGCATTTAGACGACAGAAAACAAATTAAAACTGGTACAGCCATATATTGTACATTCTGTTAATCCCAAGTCTTCATTTGTTACTTAACATGTCTGAATACCTTAAAAATCCCTTCTGGGAGGGAAGTTTGATTGAACACATAGATTAAACACACACACCACCACCGCACAATAAACATCACCAAATACTTCATGCCTGCTAACAGTACAGTTTCCATAATACCACAGGTAAGACTCGATAGCAAATATTTGAGCACCAACTATTTGCAACATATTCTAAAATAAACCAAACGTGTCCTAACAACCCTGTCAACTTTAAATAGTACTATTCGATGTATTTGTAATACTGCTCTAATCTCTCAATAAGACAGCAAGTAAAAATCTTAGCAGTGAAAGGCCCAAAGAGATCATGAATAAAATCTAGCACTTGCTGGAAATGCAAAATCATCGACAGTAAAAGATCATGCAAAGAGCAAATGAAAAACTTAAAAGGAATTAATATAAGAATTCTCAAGAGTCCATTCAGAACAATAGACCCATCAACTAAAATATAAATTCAGGCTTGTTTTCATTGCCAGAATGACATTCTCATCATCAAATGTTTTATTGGTGGTTTATCTTCATAAACGCAGTCCTCATTCTATTAATCTCATTCCTCGGGATGGACCTAACTCGGGAACTTTAACTTTATGAGACTCAAATTCCGTAGCAGAACCCACGCCCTGCATCTTGCTGAGGCCGTCAGAATCCCGTCTTTTGTTGAAACCCTGCCCTTTCCAGCCTTACATTCTCCCCTTCCCCTTAATGAAGTATGGAAAAGTTGGAGTAGTTTTATAGAAGGAATTTTGCTGAGTGGGGGAAACATAATTCAAAAAACTGTATTTAAAAATAACATATGTATAGAGAATGATATATGCCATTATTATATCAAGACATACGTATTTTCAAAAACATATATCTTAAATATATTTTTATTTCAGAGAGGAAGAAAGAGGGAAAGAAGAAGAGAGGGAGGGAGGCAGGGAGAAAGGGAGAAATATTAATGATGAAAATCACTGATCAGCTGCCTCCTGAACGTTCCCTCCTGGGGATCGAGCCCACAACCTGGGCATGTGCCCTTCGCCAGAATCGAACCTGGGACCCTTCCGTCTCCAGGCGGGCGCTCTATCCACAGGCCAGGGCTCAAATATATATTTTACTGATTTTAGAGAGGAAGGGAGCAAGATAGGAACATCAATGAGAGAGAAAGATTGATCAGCTGCCTCCTGCACAGACCCCAGTGGGGACTGAGCCCACAAGGAAACCAAGCATGTGCCTGGGCTGGGATCAAACCAGAGACCTCTTGGTCCCTGGGTCGACAACTCGACCACTGAGCCACACCAGCTGGGCACGATATATGATTTTTTTATTTTTTTTAAAATATATTTTGATTAATTTTTTACAGTGAGGAAGGGAAAGAGATAAGAGAACTAGAAACGTCAGTGAGAGAGAAACACCCACCAGCTGCCTACCGGGGATGTGCCCGCAACCAACGTACATGCCCCTGACTGTAATCGAACCTGGGACCTTTCAGTCCACAGACCGACGCTCTACCACTGAGCCAAACCGGTTTCGGCAGATATATGATTTTTTTAAAGCCAAAATCAAGCTATGGAGAGATTTCGTTCTCTCAACCAGTTATTATCAAGTATTTACTTAATATAAGTAAATTATATAATTACATATAATAAATGCTAAATAACCAGAAATCAAATGAATAACTATTAAATCAGCAACCAGCAAGAAATACACTGTAATTAAAGATAAAATAAGTCATCCTCTGATTGATTGGTCTTGTGACAAAATGGTATCTAAAGAATCTGAAATCCACCGAATCCGGTTTGGCTCAATGGATAGAGCGTCGGCTTGGGGACTGAAAGGTCCCGGGTTCAATTCCAGTCAAGGGCATGTATCTTGGTTGCAGACACATCCCCAGTAGGGGGTGTGCAGGAGGCAACTGATCGATGTTTCTCTCTCATCGATGTTTCTAACTCTATCCCTCTCCCTTCCTCTCTGTAAAAAAATCAATAAAATACATTAAAAAAAAAAAAAAGAGTCTGAAATCCCCCAGCTAGTGGCTATTACTTTCTTTCTTAGGATCAAATCTCTTTTATGGATGGCCTTCGCAGGAGGGTGGAATTGCTAAGAAGATAATGCGATAATACGTACTCAGCCCGGGCCCGATCTCCCAAGCTTCACAGCTGCTGAAAATCATGGCTGTTATTTTCTGTTCTTTATTGAGATAAAAATAATTTATTTTAAAAAATTATGAAGTCTAAGAGAAAGTAGAAAATAGGAGCTTTTATGTGAGAGTGATAAGAACTTAGGTTAGATAGAAAAGATTTTGAAGGATGCATTGAAACTATCTTAGAACTCAAATTACTACAGAAAGACACCGCAATCATTTGATATACTGAATTGAAAAATCGAGGTCCCTGCATCCTCCTCATTCATTGGGCCAGCTCGTAAATTCCAGGCACTTCACAAATGAAGGCCAAAATGCCTAGAGATGAATTCATTTTGCGCAACCTTTCTGCTTTTGATATCAGATAACTCTACCCCAATCTTGATGACAAACTGCTGAAGACTGAAGTTATTTTATCACAACTCAAAAGCACACCAGTATTTCAGCCACAAATCTAGAAATGATTGTTATTACTTATTTGTGGTAGAATAAATACCCACAAAAGCCAGCCAGAGCACTCTTCAAAATAGCAGCAATTTTGCTTAATCTCATAACCAACGTATGTGTATGACTGCTTAATTCTATTCAGTGTGAATGTAAAAAGTTGATCAGTCAAAATAACAAATTAATTCAGCTGACCACTAAAACCTAAAATTTTATCGAAGCTTGTTACTTTCTAGAATTGAAAAACAATGGGGGGAAATACAAAACTCAAATGTTTACTCCATGAGATTAAGCAAAAAATATATAAATTTTTATCTGAGGATTTTCCATTGCTTTTAGATGGAATGGAAGGGGATGGGGAAAGAGAAAGGGAGAGAGATACACGGATTGGTTGCCTCCCCCATGCACCTTGACTTGAGGCCTGGGAACAAATCTGCAACCCAGGTACTTGCCCTTGACTGGAAACCGGTCCCGAGACCTTTTGTGTGTGGGCTGAAGCTCTAACCACTGAAAACCACCAGCCAGGGCTAGGCAACCTTTGTAATAACCTTTGATAAAATTCTCTATTCTTTTCATAACCTAATGAATCAGATATGAAATTCAGAAACTAACTTTTAAACATCCGTTTAATGATGACAGAGAATCATTGATCGGCTGCCTCCTGCAAGCCCTCCTACAGGGGACTGATCCCTGACCTCCTGGCTCATAGGTTGTCATAAGTTGAAGCTCAACTACTGAGTCATCTCTGCTAGGGCTTCTTCTGTTGGCAGCTTCATTGTTTAGGGGGAAAAGCAAAGTATCTACTGCTACCTGACAAAAACATACACTCACAAACACCCCCCCCCCCCCCGCACACACACAAATTTTAGTTGAGTTCTACAATCTTCCATGATTCATGGACACCAAGCATGTAAATCCATTCTACTAGTGAAAACAGCCTCTGCAGGCACAACCCTTAAAATGCCATACTATAAATGATCAAGGGCTATTTTAGGATTTGACAATCATGCCTACAAAGGCTTCCCAACTCTAAAGACTTAAGTTCAACTTCAAGAAGAAAGACAATTTTTGCTCTTAATGCAATTAAAAGGCTGTCTGATAATGATTTTTAACTACTGCAAGAAAGAAAAGTTCACTTCTAAGTATTATGTGACTTAAGGAAAGATACCTGCTCAGATGAGATGGCAATGAGGGGATTTTGCTCAATGTTAAAGAGATCTTACCAAGGAAAAGCTCAATCTTTAGGTGAAGTTGGAAAACAACGATGGACACAGGCCGTGGTAGAATGACAAGAGTAATACCAAGAATTAATTCAGTGTGAATGTAAAAAGTTGATCAGTCAAAATAACAAATTAATTCAGCTGACCACTAAAACCTAAAACTTTACCCGGAGCTTGTTACTTTCTAGAATTGAAAAAAATTCTAGCGTCGGCCTATGGACTGAATTAATTGCGGATGATTACACAAAAGGCTCAATGAGTATCCTATAGCTCATTTTACGGGGTTCTTAACTAAAGATTCATTGAGCTTCCTTTGTTGTTGTTTTTTCAGGATAGGCATAGAGCCCTCTGACAACTTTGTAAATATTCAATTTCAACACCACGTTTAAATATTTATTTATTTATTTTATTTATTTATTTTTTTGTTAGTCAAGAATTTGACTTCAGCCCCACCAGGTGGCCAGCTGGTGGCAGTGTCTTCCTGTACACCAAAAGGTTGCAGGTTCAATCCCCAGAAGGAGGAACAGATTCACGATTCTCTCTGTCCTCTCCAATAAAAACAAAGAAATGAATAAAGGACAGATATATGCTCAGGTGAGGATTAAAAAAAAAGACAAAAACTTGACTTCAAGGAAAACTCTTTAGTCAGTCCTTTGCCAAAACGGGTTTGGCTCAGTGGATAGAGCGTCGGCCTGTGGACTGAAGGATCCCGGTTCAATTCCAGCCAGGGCATGTACCTTGGTTGCGGGCACATCCCCAATGGGGGGTGTGCAAGAGGCAGCTGATCGATGATTCTCTCACATCGAGTTTCTAACTCTTTATCCCTCTCTCTTCCTCTCCGTAAAAAATCAATAAAATATATTAAAAAAAAAAAAAAAAAAGGCAGTCCTGTCCTATCGATAGATGGATAGAACACGCTGCTTATGTGCCAAAAAAGCACAACAGATGAAATAGAATAAACA